TCAATGTCTGGTTATCACAACCACTACACTATCGACGATTTCGACATCATGCATGTAACATGTCATCGATAAAGCAGTAGTTGTGATTAACCGGAGCTTCTACCTCCGATTTGTGCTAATCAGACATTGAACAACCGGCCCTAAGTAAGTTATCCATTCATCGACCAAGCTAATAAAAGAAAACACTTAGCGCCGGTTACACAATGTCTGGTTAACGCTAATCCCCGGTTAAACGTAGTTATCGACGTTACCGACTCCCTGTTGTATGCATGGAGTCTTAGACGTCGATAACGATGTTTAACCGCAGATAAGTGTTAACCAGACATTGAGTAACCGGCCCTTAGAATAAAAAATAAACTTACGGCCGGTTGTTCTATGGCTGGTTATCACTACTTGCCGGTTAAACATCATTATCGACGTTTTCGACATATGCATATAACATGTGATCGATAAAGCAGTCGTTGTATTTAACCGGAGCTTCTACCTCCGATTTGTGCTAATCAGGCATTAAACAACTGGTCCGAAAAATTGCTTAATTTTGATATCTTGGTTCTGTAACCACTTGTTTTAGGGTTGCCCACTCCCAAGATAAATTTCCCGTTTGCAACAAAATCCCATGCAGTGCTGCAATCCCCATTTTGATTGGTTGATCAGGTATGCTTCGAGTGCTACATTTTGCAAACGAACGGAAAACTCTTGCATTTGCTTTTTTACAATTCGTTTGGACGCACAGCAGCTATATAGCAAATTTCGGTAGGTTTAATTGTTTATAACGAATTTAAAAAAAGTTCTTTTCTTAAATTGCAAAATACAGATGAATGTAAGTTTGTTAAAATGTGTACTAAGTACTCGCAGATTTGTATTAGGTATGGTGGCGAATAAAAGAAATCTGAAGTTTTCTAATCCGGTTTCAAAGGAAACCTAAATTTTTTTTAAATGGTAGAAAGTTAAAATCTATTTAATTCAGCTATCCTTTTTTATTTGATAGTTTTATGAAAGAAATTAAAAATTTGTGGAGATGGAAAAGATTTCTTTGGGACTATCCTTCTATTTGGGAACCAATATAAGTCTCCGTATTTGGCGCAAATCAACCTTACAAATTGGCTTCGGTAGTTAGAAATTAAGCTATAATCACGAAGTAGACAAACAATTTTTTTTTTTTTTTTGATAGTGCCTATTTATAAATTAAAACCTCATATTTTGTATAGCACTGGATATTGGGTCCTTCGGCTATATACATATTGCAAATTGGGAAAGGAAATAATTATAACTTGCAATGGTTGGCCGAGATATAACGCCAACGGAAATCGGAAAGCATTCCAAACTAATAAGAAGTGAGTGTCCCCATGATTACGTTTAGACATAAAAATACGTTGCGACATACATATGTACGAACCTTTTGCATTTTTACCTAGTGGCGCAAGATGAAATGGCCTCCATGGATGTTCTAGTATGCGGCCGTTGCCTCAACGTATCTCACTTCATTGAAGATTTTGATGACCATAAACAGAAGCCATGCCACAAAGAAAATACTAATGTGCGTGAATGTAATGACACTAAACCAAAAATTTGGGCATTCTT